TTATATCCCGCCTATCTAGTCGAACGACCACTCTAGGCGGTTTCCAACACATAAAACAACAATCTAAGAAAATTACAATATAACAAAATTTTTAAACATCAGTATAAACGAATTATCCAAGGCTGCAGAGGGGAAAAAAATTCCAGTATTAGTCTGGAAGGACTGATGGTTAACTCCGCGTTGCTTATGGCATCTAATTACTGCATAGCCTGGGGTGGTTCACATATTTTGCACCATATGATTGTGTGGGCAGAATACCATTGTTTATTGCACCACTGACTGTATATAATTAAATGTGTGTGAGAGAAAATGCATGTGTAGCATAGCAATTAGCATTTACTTCATACAAGTCACTCCTTTTTACTAAAACTTCTCTGTATTAAGCTGATCACACTGTTGGGGGAAGATTCTCACCTGGTTTATAGTTTCAAAATGTGTTGTTTACATAGTGACTCTGAGCTGGTTGTATAGCGAAGCAATGTGCCGTTCCATTTTGTGTCGCTGTATGATATTGGTAGAAATTGCCGTACTTCTGAAACAGTCACATTTACAATGTCTAGAGCAGTCAGACTTGGCAACTTCTAGCGGTCTGGGGCCCAAATATGCTCCTCTCTGAGCCCCCCCCCAATTCCCATTGTTTTTCTTACAAAAATGGTTGCCTGGATTTTTTTTTGAAAAACTGAGAAAGGTCCTTTGTACCATTTTGTGGCTGAATTAGAAAGAATATTTTTGACGGCGTGGGGGCCACAGATGGTGGGTGGGTCCTCAAAGTGTGGCAATGTTCACTCTGTGCTTCCTACGCTGCGCAAGGACACTTTTTGAGTGACAATATTTTTGTTTTTTTTAAAAAAATAGCAAATTAAAATAAAATAAATCTATTTTCAGTTGGGCTGGCTTCCTGGAACCCTGGGGGGGTCTTAGATCTGGGCCTCTGGGTAGGAGTTCACTTAACGGCTCACAGGTCACCCATTGCCCAGCCCATCCAGACTTTAACCCACGGGCTAGAAACATGTGGCTCTCCAGATGTTGTGGGATTGTGACTCCCATCATGCCCTCATGGTTGGCTATGATGGCTGCTGGCTATTATAGCTCAGCAACATCTGGAAACCATCTGTGCCCCACTTAGCCCCAGATCCTGCCTCCCTCTTTTTTCCAACATGCTCATTCACATCATGAATATTTATTTGCAAACGAGGCAGGAAGAGGGTCCACCACTCAGCCGGCAGAGCCGCTCCTTGACATGCAGAAAGTCCAGGTTTCAGGCCCTGGACGTTCCAGTTACAAGGGTCAGAGATGAAAGGAAAGGACACTGCCAGGCTTTAGGGGTGCGGTTTTTGGATTCTTTGGACTACACATCCCATAACTCCCCATTCTGGGAGTTCCTCCTGACTTCATTTGTTTGCTGATCAGGTAATCAGGGGATGGAGAAAACCCACTTGCTAAATTTGTTGATGCCAAACTCTTGCTATGCAGATGTAGCTGACTAGTCTGGAAACCGTCTCTGAAATGATGGATGAGAAGCATTCAGGGAATTCATCGAGAGTTGACCGATAGGGCTGTTGGCAGCAGAATTTCCTACCATCTCCTCCTTTTCAATTCCCCCAGTGTCCTGAACATGTACCCAGAAGGCTACTGGAGTCCTGTTGAATAGGGTAGGAATGTGTGACCTTTAGGTAGACCAAGCCTTTGACTGCAGTATGTAGACTGACATGTGCCCAGCCCATTTTTTTAGCCTCCAGGAAGATTAACTCTCCCTCCCTCCCTCCCTCCCTCCCTGCTGCAGTATGTAGACTGACATGTACCCAACCCATTTTTTTTAGCCTCCAGGAGGATTAACTCTCCCTCCCTCCCTCTCTCTCTCCCTCCCTCTCTCTCACATACATACTTGCAGAAAACACTATTCTTCTTGGGAACTGACCTATAGTGGACCTAACAGGGCTTTTAAGGTAAGTGATATTATAACAACAGCAACAACAACAACC